TTTTATTTTTATTTTTATTATTATTATTATTATTATTATTATTAATTCTTGGAAACATCAGTATCCATCAGCAATCATGACCTTCATTTCACCGAGCCAAATGAGGGTATATGCATAGTGCACATAAAAGAACCTAAAACGACATGCAACAGCTAGAGCAGATTTCAGTGCCTTACACTCATGCACCACCTTGGAGACAAGGCAGGTTTTGTGTTACTTTCTCTAAAAGTAATAAAAATAATTAATTATCAGATTTTGCAATGAATGAGGACAGTGATGTACAGTTTTTGTCCTTTTTATTTTTTCCTTTTCCTATATATCTACTGTATATCTGGAAAATGACTGTTGTAACTGGCTAAAATACAAAATATAAATATAATGAGACCCTGAATATTAACAAAACCAAGAAACTCAAAGGATTACTGGAAACAGACAAGACACACTCCCTTCAGTATAAACAGAGCTACAGTAGTTAGGGTCAGCGGCTTTAAATTCCTCTGTCCACACCTCTTCACAAGAGATTCTATCTAAGCCCCAGAGTCCTTAGGTCATATCCACATTGTTGAGAGCATAATAACTGGTAGAGATACATGCTGTTTTGGGAACTACACTGCTTGACTGAAAAAAACTTACAGAGAATAGTATGTGCCCAGTGCAGGGGTGTACAAATTTATCCATAAAGGGTTTGTCTGGCAGCCGGTTTTCATTCCAACCAAGCAGAAGTCACACCTGAAAGTCGACTGAAGGCCAACATCAGTCAATTAAACAAGTGGACTCAGGTGTGGCGCCTCCTTGTTTGGTCTGAAAACCTGCAGCCATGCCATTGATTTGTGGATAATACAGCCCTGGCAATGCATCACTGGAGGTAAGCTGCTCCAGGACATTTACACCAGATGGTACCTGAAGAGAGGCTGGAGTATTATCAAGGCCACCTGAACCACAGCCTGTTTCCTGCCACCTGGAAGATGGTACTGCAGCATTGGGACATGCACATACAGGCTCTAAGACTATTCCTACAGGCCATAAGGCTGCTTTCACACTTGCCTTTTTTGTGTTTATTGACCCATGTTTATTTTTCTCACTTGTCCCCCACTTTGTGACCCGATTTGTCAGGACATCACATACATAACTCTTTTCTGAAAAGTTTCAACTTTTGAAGCACGCTGCCACATTCCTGTATTATTACATATAAAACGTGCTTGCAGTTGAACTGATGCACACAACACTAGACGGACACTAAATTGCACATTGTGCAAAGTAGGATGTAGAGACCTCATTACTCTACTGTACCCTACACCTTGTATATCTCACTGCTTCCATATTACTATAGTACGTGTGTGTATATGTATGCATGTATATATATATATATATATATATATATATATATATATATATATATATATATATATATATATATATATATATTACACACACACATATACATACACACACATTAATCTATGTTGTCTACATATACCCAGAATTACAAATGACTACACATATCATATACCATCTGTGGACACTTGACCATCACATCCATATGTGGTTTTTCCCCAAACTGTTGCCACAAGTTGGAAGCACATAATTGTACAAGATGTCTTATATGCTGTAGAATTTCCCTTCACTGTAACTAAGAGGCTCAAACATGTTACAGCATGACAATGCCCCTGTGCACAAAGTGAGCTCCATGAAGACATGGTTTGCCAAGGTAGGAGTGGAAGAATTTAAAAGGTTTGTACAGAGCCATGACCTCAACCCCACTGAACACATTTGGGATGAATTGGAACACTGACTGCACTCCAGGATTCCTCGCTCTACATCAGTGCCTGACCTCACTAATGCTCTTGTGGTTGAAAGAGCACAAATTCCCACAGTCACTCTCCAAAATCTAGTGGAAAGCCTCCCATTAAGAATGGAGGTGATTATAAAAGTAAAGGGTAAACAGTAAATAAATCTGGAATGGGATGTTCACAGAGCACATGAGTATGATGGTCACACATACTGCATATTGTCATATGTTTTGTTTACTTTGCCATGTGTATTTTTATTTTGATTCATGTCCTGTCTCCTCCCCCATGTGTTTCCCTCATGTGTCATTACTTGCACCTGTTTTCAGTTTGCCCCTTAATTAGTTTGCGAAAGTATTGTTCAGTGTTTACCCGCCTGTCCACACCGAGCCGTCTTTGTTCTGTGTCACATCACTCTGGTTCTTGATCTTGTTTCCGTTTCCTGGTTTGTGTGTTTGGATTAACTTTGACATTGTTATTTGCTGATTGCCTGACCTCTGCCTCTTGATTTGAATTCACGTTTGGATTTATCTGCCTGCCTTTCTAATGAAACGTCTAATTGCACTTGAATCCGTCTCACTTCTCATCCGTGGTTGTTGGAGCTCTGCAACTTCACTTGCATTTTAGATTTTTTATATCACTAATAAATCTATATCTATATCTGACACTGTTCAGCGTTTTCCCAATAAGGGAAAAATTAAACAATAAATGGATTATTACTTGCTTACATAAATACTCTTTAAACGATAAACTGGATAAATGAGACCATAAAACTGTAAATCTACTGAGTATAACTTCAAACACACTATCAAACCTTGTCAAGTTTTTAAAAATAATTTTTAGGATTCAGTGACTTTTGTCTAGTCAAAGTGCAAAGATACAGAGTAGCTGAAAATCAGGCATTATAGCATCATTATAAAAAGCCAATTGTGTTCCATGACCCTGAAACCCTGCAGCAGATGGGTGTACAGACTGACAGTGATACAGTATACACACACACACACAAAGATAGACAGGCTATACCTGATCTTGGCTTCAAGCCAAAGACAGTCAATGTTGTGCTGAAGTCTGTGGAATGCATTCCCTCCTGCAATAAGAAAAACATTTCAAAATCTCGCATGAAATTTATCCAGCATTTTCTATATGGCTAAACAACATTAAAAATACATTACATAAATTTCCAATACAGACTTCAAACGTTACATATTTAATATATACCAAAACACTTAAACCTTTAAAATGTTCATAGATTTTACACAGAAATTCACTCGTCCTTTGGTGCCATGGGTCTGAATGTGGGGAATTCCACTTTATATAATCACTAAATAATACATGAAATAAATTTTAGTGATGATATAACATATTGCTAGGAGTCATATTTGTTTCCTCTCCCTGCGCTGTCTGTCTGACTTGAGATGATTTATGTACAAATTGCTAATTATCCGATTAGCTAGCAGGTTATAATTCTTCTTTTGGAAGCAGTATCTGTGTACTCTGTTTCATATACTTGTGTTTTATTGAATAACGTAGTGTTAAGAATACTAAAAAAGTTTAACAAATAAATCTGGTGAAGACAGTGAAGTTCAGATTTTATCACAGCTTTACATTGTTCTAATACGTTATTGTTTCTATATTGTTTCACAGGGCCTTGAATTAAAAAGAAAAACATATAATTGATAATAGTCAGAGGTAAAGTTGTAACTAAGTTTCCAACACTGGAAAATTCTTCAGGACAGAGGGGTTTATGCTTTGTTGTTTCTTGATCACATTGTTTTTCTTATTAACTTCAAGAGAAAGAAAAAAAGAGCGGCTGGTGAGGGAATGACTGTTTGTAGTTGCTATAACGTAAGTGAAAACAAGAACTAACTTTCAGAGAGGTTTCATAACATTAAAAATAACTATAAACAAATAGGCATGACATGTTGGTCATTAATAAATTCAAATTTGTAATAATTGGCAAAGTGCTATGGTAAAATGGGAAATAAAAGACTTCAGAAAATGTTATTATTGGAAAAGAGATAGGGACTTTTCAATCATAGTGTGTTATCTTTTTTTTTTTTTTTTACAAATTTTTTGTATTTACCTTTACAAAATGAGAAGCATGAAACTTGATGTTTTTCAGTTACACCCCATCAACCATGTGGCTTTCACTTTACTGTGGCTCTGGGCGTGGGCTGTGTTTTCAGTGCATGGTGTCAGGTGATTTTATCAGCTGTATTGATTTGATCTCACCACGTTTTCAAAAAATGTATGTTGTGAAATGCATCTATGGCATATATCATATCAAAGGTGATACTCTGAAGAAGGAAACATGGATAAACTCCCAAGATATTGACAACATTTAAGGTTTGTAAACAAGCTTAGGTGTTTTTAAATTCCATCCAACACTTACTGTTTCTTTATTCATTTTCAGAAAATACACACATACATATCATCTCACCTCACAGTCATTCTCAGTGGAGTTTCTTCGTGCACTTTGGCACTTGTACTAAAAAAAAGAAAAAACAAGAGGGAAGAATAAGAATTTTCTTCATTTCCAAATTCAAGCAACCAAATATCTCATTGGATCTATGCCAAAAATCTGAATCGTAGTGGAAAACTAGCTGCAACATGATATTAGATTTGTCTGTCTTATTAAATGTTTATGTTCACGGTAAAGGCCTTGTTGCTTATAATATAGATTTTTTGGCTTAGAATTGATCTTTCTGCCTTGATGGCTTTCCACATGGACAAATCAAAGATATCACATGCATCACCCATGTGCCATGTACAACAACCAAAGTATCTTATTTACGACTTGGGGAAGCAGCACTGTTCAAGAAAATAACAGAAATCTAAATTCCTCAGTGCCCACTTGAGGAAAATTGCGGTTAAAAATATTAGATGCATCTAAGATGAAAACTAACATTAAGACTATGCCATGAATCTTTAGAGATTGGTTTGGAGGTATTAGAAAACTCTGATATGTTCAGTGTTCTTGTTGCAGCTTTCTAGGAGGTCCAGTCAGAATACTGCATCAGGAACAAGACAAGCAGGAATCCTCTTTCGGCTGCTCCCATTCAGGGTCCCCACAGCTTATCACCCGGCCACATATTCATTCTGCCACAAGTTTTACGCTGGATGCCCTTCCTGACGCAACCCTCCCCATTTCCAGACTTGGGACCAGCACTGGGAGTGCACTGGCTCATGCAGCCCTCCAGAGGCTAGAGTTGGTTCCCTGCCCGGGAATCAAACCCAGGCCCGGCAATGAGAGCACTGCAAGCTAACCACTAGCCCACCAGGGAATTTCCCATTCAAGTGTATGGGAAGAAGAAAAAAGATAGTGTGGATAAACTCCACCTAAACATATAGGTGGAGATAGAGTTGGAATGTAACAGTGTCTGCTATTGATAACGATACCAGCTCTGAATACCAACTTCCAAATCAGCATTTCATCTACAGTTGTTGCCACTGCTGCAGAATCTAACAGCAAAGCATATCTGGAAATCCAATATGCGATATGGAATAAATTTGACCTAATCAAACCTCTGTAAGAAATACTTACAATGTGAACAGAGCTTTGATTAAAGAAGTAGTAGAACTGGCATCGATGGGGATGCCTCTGCTGCCAAGAAGTCTAGTCCTAATTCGTATGCCCCAAATACCCTTAAAATATACTTCAAACATGGAAGACACGATTGAAGAAAAAATATTTCAGTATTTGACTTTGCTCTCACCTTGACCCTGTTTCAATCAATTCCAAAATTGAATCAGTAACGGGAAAAAAACAACTAATCTTATAAATCCTGAACTACTTTTTTTTTCCCCCCAGTAAACCTCCAGTAGGCTATTTCATCAGCTGTTACCAATATCTTTATGCTCATATTGTAGCTATCTGGCAATTCCTGTTAAATGTATTGGTTAATCCGGTTTCTCATCATAGCATCATAGCTGGTAGAAAGTAAAAGGTGAATAAACAAAGGAACACATTCATAAAACAAACTTTAATCAGTATAATAAATATTATCACCTAATAGTCCATATACTTAAATAGTTTCTGTTAGACCTTCCTTTTCCTATCAATGTCCTATTCATGTTTAAGAGCCTAGGGTATTGGTGTTACACCATATGGCCAAAAGTAAACCTATACGAGTTTGTTGGATATGCCATTTCAAAACCATGGACATTAATATGGGGTTATCTGTAAAACTACCTCATCCATCCAAATCTGAAAAATCTGTCTTTTGTCTTTTTATGTTATGTTCTGTCTATGCTAAAATTTCTCATTTCTTAGGGTTCTTCTTATGGTGTATGGCCAATTTCCTGTCTTTTAAGGATATGGAAACTGTTATTTATGCTTTTATTTTGTCTGGACTGGATTATTGTAATTGTAACGTCTACAGTTAGTGCAAAATGCAGCGGCTAGATTTCTGACTGGCACTAGGATGTGCGCTAGCATTTCTCCTGTGATGGCTTCCCTGCACTGGCTCCCACTTAAATGCAGGGTTCAATATAAAGTACTTTTAATGGTTTTTAAGGGTTTACATGGATTTGCACCAGAATATATTACTGATCTTCTACAGCTGTTTCAAATGCCTAGACTTTTAAGATCTACAGAGTTTTCTTTTAAAGGTCCCAAAGTCACGCTTGAAATCTAAAGGAGATTGTGCCTTCTCTGTTGCAGTTCCCCATCTGTGGAACAGCCTCCCTGTCCAAATAAGATCTTGTGATGAAAATGAATCTTTTAAATCAACACTGAAGACTCATCTGTACTCTGCTGTGTATAACTGTCTTTAGTTTTATTGTAATTTGTTGTTCATGTGTTTATTGTCTATGCTTTAAATGTGCCTGTATTGTAACTTTGGGAGTGTAAAGCACTTTGGTCAACTCATGTTGCTTTTAAATGTCCTATATAAATAAATCATAATTGACTGATTGATCGAGGGTTACATGCGGTTACAGTGGTTTATTGGGTTCACTGAATGCAGAGCAGAAGAATGAAAACATCAAAGTTTCAGAATATTCCACAGTGGTAACTAAAATCACAGCCAATGTGCACATCACAGAACTCACAGTCGCAGAAAAGAAGACAAAAGACAGCAATTTCCTGTAAAAGCCGTATTTGTTTGTCATGGCCAATGACAAATCCTGAGACCTGGGAAGACCTCTCATTGGCTGTTATTGCTGTTGGACTAGTAATGAAGTTGGTGGTAGTGCTGCAACAAGGGACATATAATGCACTCTCAAAGCCACACACACATGCACAAACACATAGTAGTAGCAGTAGTAGTAGTAGTACTGGCACAAGGACTGTTAAATGTTGGAGTGCTTGTTACAACTCTTGTCACTTGTTCTTGTGTTTGGCTGTGTGCTGCACCAGGCCTTGGGCTTGGAACAGTCTCAATAAAAAGACTGTGTTTATATGTGTGCATGTCTAGCTACCTTTTGATGCATTAAAAATATGCCTCAGGCATGAAATATGACCATTTCTGAAGGCTGGCACAGCATATTGAAAGCTAACTTTTGTAAAACATTTAAGATGATGGTTAACTTGAAAGCTCCTGTCAACTTATTTTTAGAATAAAAATTGTCAAATTTCCAGGAACCAACACCAACATTAACTGACTACTAAGCAAGGTGTAGTATGGAAAAAAATTTGGCCCAGCTTCTGTGAGATGTACTTAAGGAACGCATATCCCGTCAGTCAGAATGATTTATAAAGGAATTTCAAAGCTTGCAAGGCCATACAACATACCTGCTGACAGTTTATTATAAATTATGTATATAGAATTTAGGCCAAGACAGATTAAGAATCATTTGGACATACCCTTTTTTCTGTGATGATAAACAAATTACTGTCTGTGACCTCCTGACAAATTGAAACATTTTGGTCGCTAAGTGGTTTAACTATCAGACTACCACTTTAGTGGTAGAACAGACAAGTATTCACCCTATCATCAGGAGATCGCAAATTTGAATCCCTTTGATGTCACACAAGCCACAAGAGCAAAATTGGCTGTGCTCTCTGGGTGGGAGGGAAGGCATACTTGGCTTGCTTTCCTCTGAGCGTGTTGTGTGGCCTGTGATGCAGCATAAGCAGATGCTTGAAAAGATGCTGTAGCTGGCATCACATGTCTCTGCGGAAGCACCCTCCACAGTTGTTAGGTATTGTGTGATGGGGAAGAGCTGGCTGGTGGATAGGAATTGCCAGATGAAAAAATGGGAGAAAATGGGGGGGGGGAGAAAAGCAACAAAAAAAAAAACTGGCTGCCATTACAGTGTTACACACCTAAATAATATCAAGTCAGTGCTGGACCTATGGTGGTCCCTTTCTTTTGATGAACAAGGATGGGCCATAGTCAATAATTAAATTCCTAAAACCTACATCTACTGTATATGACAGTCTATGTAAAAATGTAAAAAGAGGTGTAGCTAATAAATAGTTCAGTGTATGAGGGATCTCAGTGTATTAGAGATAAAAACATGTAACTGCATGGCCCTGTAATCTCACGCTCAAGCTGCTTTTTCTTTCATTTCTGCGCACCTGGTGGATAGTGCCACTTGGATACAATTCTCATGCTGGTGCCATACAGATGATGAGAAAAGTTAAAATAATGTTTTCCCACCATCACATGACCAATTAATCAGTGTTGCTTAATAGGAAGTCTTGTCTGTTCTGCAATTTGTAAATGTGTTAGGCCTACACCAACACCAGTTCATTAAGTGTCAGTTTGGTATAACTCTTAATCCAAATTAAGTCCTGAATGGGGTCTAGCATGGAGGATGTGACTCCTTAATGTCTAATTAAGCTCCCCATACAATACTTGTCATTTATTTTCTGTTACTTAGATATGCCGCCCTTTGCCTTGATAAAAACCCAAGGATTCCATCCATGTTTTGTCCTATTAGTTTTCTGTCAAATTTTCATAATTCCACTCTCAATTCAGCTTGTATGTGGTTTTTAATTTGGTGTTTCCCCAGCAATACTGTGGGATTATACTTAAAGCCAGATTTTGCAGGGAGGTCAAAGTGTCCCATTATTCCATCAGGCTCATTGAACAAGTCACAAACAGGTTTAGATGCACTCTACAGTCTTTATTCTGGAATGTGAGAGTGTCATTGATGTGTTCTGCTTAGACTTGAATCACAAAATTAGCCTCCAACAAACTGACAACTCCCATGTTATTACATTTCATTACATTCACGAGTGATAGACAAGCAACACAGACCGCAGCTTCCCCCTTGGATATCTACCTTTGACTTATGACTTATGAAAGTTATGAATGTAAGGATTTGTTTGAGTGGTATTTGCATAGGTGTGTTTTTGTGTGTTTCTGTGCTAGTTTACACACCTGACGTCTTACACACTTAACAAAAGGATGCCATGGAAACTGTTATGGAAACTGGCCAACAATTCTGAGCCCTGCACTTCGGTCAGCAGTGTGAACGTGTGTGAAGTGGCTGGGAAATTAAATCTGTTTGTATGTATGTGTGTGTGTCTGAGAGTGTGTGTGTGTGTGTGTGTGAGTGAGTGAGAGAGAGAGAGAGAGAGGGGAAGATATCAGATATTTTTCCTTTCCTTTATAACGGCATCAAATTCTTCCACTTGGAACCACCCTCTTTATTCTTTTTTCTCCTCTTTTCTCCACCCACTCTCAGATGATGAAACCTGTCTTGGCTCTAACACTGAGACAGATTTTAAAAGAGAACATTTATACAGCAGCCAGCTTCTCCTCTACTGAGCACAGCACCGCACTATTAAAAAGTTTAGACCAAACATAGAGATTTCATCAGAGATCAAACTGATTTGAATGCACGCATGTCTGCACTCAGTTCTGCACCCCGGACATTTGGCATGAGCTCAAACTGATTTGAATGCACGTATGTCTGCACTCAGTTCTGCACTCAGGACATGTCCACAGTTGTTTTTATACATAAAATACTAAAAAGGCAATGCAAAATGGCATTATGTATATTATCTTATTTTCAGAAGCGGCAGTGAATGAATGAGAGCAGGGGCTGACACCAGCCACTCCTCAAAAGTTTTTAGGCCAGTGCCGTATTGGTCGTAAGGAATCTATGAGATTAACTGCATTTCCCATAGTGAGGTGGAAACATTGTTTATCAACTGATGGATGAATGTAGAAAATGAAAGGTTCTAGTTTTTAGCTCCATCAAAATAGCTAAACAGATGGGTCAGTTTCAGCTTCTTTTCACTTTTAAGTCCCTGCAGTGGAGCTGGTTTTATAGAATCTACTACTAGATTTTTGGATTACTATTAGTGAAAAATCTGATTTGGAAGTAT